CTGTTGATTGTCATGGCAAATGCTAATTTAATTGGGAATTGTTTCCTTTTGAATGAAAAAGGGTAATTGTTTTCACAATATAAGGTGATACGATTAAAAAAAATGATATTATTAGATTTATCACCCATTAAAATTTTGCATTTCAATAAATGATTAGATAAATCTAATATTTGTAATCGCGTACCATTACATAAACCTTCATTGATACTTATATTTCTTATCAACATTAGAATACAATTTTTTTTTTAATTCAATTTATATAGTGGTAAAAAGGGTGGATTTAAAAAGTTTAAATACTCAGGCATTATAATATCATCTAAATCGCCATTATTATTTTGGACTATAGTATCAACTGCAGTATATAAACGTTCACTCGTTTTATCTAATAAATTGGTAGTTTGTATATTAATATCATCTACGTCAATATTTCTAGCAGACAAGATTGCACATTTATTAATTTTATTAAATTTTTTTTCACGGATGAGTTTACCAAAAATATTTTCAATAATACTCGTTGAAGCTGGAAGTAAACAATGCACATAGTATCAACAGGTAGATTCCATCATCAATTTTATAATTTTATATTATAAATTTTAATTGATTCATCATTTTCTGGGATCCTAGAAACAAGTAAGCTTCTATAACTGGATGACAAGCACCCACATTATATATTAGTTTTTAAAGAATGATTAAAAAATCCTGAAGATTCAGAAGGAAGCTTCGGGAGATTCAGAATTATCTTCACCAAATGCTCCTTAAAATTTATCGTACTTAACGCATTCAGAAGTTCCTTTAGACGTAACTCTCGAGTAAACGGATTATCAGGCCACTAGGAATGAATGGAAATTATCCCATGTCCCTGTGATTCGTAACGTTGCAACTAGTATGTATTCTAAAGTAAAATGCTATGGAAGGTTGAGTATCATCAACGCTGAATGCCTGTTAAAATATCTTGTACTCAAACTATTCTGACTTTCGGTTAGAGAAAAATTTTAGTTACCCTCGTCCGACCAGATTATCAAGCCAATATTAATGAATGAAAATTATTTCATGTCCCTGTGATCCGTAATGTAGCACCAGTATATATTCTAAAATCAAAAACTATGGAATGTTCAGTATCGTCGACACTTAATTCGTGTTAAAATATCTCCTACTCAAACTATTCTGACTATCGGATAGAGGTAACTCTCGACCGGCCGAACTATCAAGCCACTTTTCATGAATGGAAATTATTTCATGTCCCTATCGTTCGTACCGTTGCGCCTCTATATCTTGCAAACTCAGATACTTCGGAAGATTCACAATCATCTTCACTGAATGCTTCTTAAAATTTATCGTACTTAACCCTTACTGACGTTTCGTTAGCCGTAACTCTCGACCGACCGGATTATCAGGCCACTAGTAATGAATGGAAATTATTTCATGTCCTTGCGATTCGTAACCTTACATCAGTATGTATTCTAATTCAATTGCTATGGAAGGTTCTGGATCATCGTGGTTGAATGCATGTTAAAATATCTCGTACTAAAACTATTCTGTACCACATCATCACAAGAAAAAAAGGGCTAGCTTATCAAGATTAGGAAAATTTAAATTACTTATGATTAGTATAAATGGTGAGATTTAAAAATTTAGTGATATTTTTAATGAGGATATGTATGAAGATCTCATCATAGCAGTGAAGAGTATGGGTAAGCCAGACCTAAATACTAATTATTTACAAGCACCAGCAACTGCCAGCATTATGTATCATTTAAATAAAAGTGTTGCTGAAGTTTACGACGTCAAATTGGGTTCCAAAAATCAGATAGAAAGTCCCTAATTTTTTAAAAGCTTTGGGGAAACAGCGGCATGCGAGCATAGGAAACACAATTGCGGATTCGCAGCCTGAATATTCAAGAAACAAATCGATTCCAGATGTAGAAGATACAAGCAAGCTACGTAGTTATTGGGAAAAAAAATGTCTGACAGTTATTTTCAGCTAATATTAAAATATAATGATGAATATTATGAAAACTTTAGAGATGCTACTTCATCCTATTTACATATAACAAATTGCCGACGTGCAGGTGAATTCGAAAGATTGAAGATTTAAGAATTTGACAAAAAAGTATTAACAACTGATCAATATCGAGTAGAAGTACGAGGCAAGAGAACGAAATCGATTCCTATTGTGTTCAAAATATGAGTATGCATTTATTTAACCCTATTAATTGAAAACAGATAGAATGCTAAACTTTTTCGTGACAATCCTTTTATATTCTCCAGAATTCATGATGTATATAAGCAGTTTTCACTGATTAATCAGCATGTACAATGATGACAAAGTTTTCAAACTTACTCGTATGTGGCGCTAAAAATCCAGAGACCTTGAAAGGTACGAATTTTAGAAAACAAGCGGCTACGTAGGATCTGAAAAGAGGTTTGATCAATCAAGGTGTAGAGCAGCTTGCTGGTTATATGGGTTACACATTAGGAATTCACCATCAAAATTACAGACAATCCGTAATTGAACGAGATATCAATGTCTCTGATCTTGTAACACAAATTCAAACATCTAAAAAGGCATCAGTTTCTAATAACGTTCGTAAGAAGAATAACACTGAAACAATGATATTCACAGATGATCAAAATAACGAGAACAATACCCTTAATTTGGCAAATAATGATAATCTTGAATTAGGGAAATCAATATTCAATAAATTTATGTTTTAATAAAATACATTCCATTTAATCAATTATATAAATATCACAATAATCTAAATAATTTTTACAGCATACGAATTTGATGCAAATTTAAATAAAAACTAAAGCAGAATCCATTGGTAAGTATCTTTTTTATTTCTATAAAATTTTCAATCAATAATGAAATAAATAATATGTTAATTTTTAATATTAAGGTACTACCCACAGAGCATGAATTAATTCACTGAATTAATTCTTGAATTAACGCAAAGAATTAATATAAAAATAATTTTCTAAGAAAAGAAAATTATTTCTTAATTAATACATGAAATATTACAAAGAAATATTCTAAAATTCTATTAAAAATAATTCAGGTAATGATTCCTGTAAAAATAAACAAATTAATACATGAATTAATTTAGAAAGGATTTTGAAAGGAACCATGAATTAATTTACAACATAAAACTAAAATTATATCTTGAAATAATTTAAAACTATTTCAAAATTATTTCATGATATGATTTTTGTAAAAATACATAAATTAAATCATTCATTAATGTTGAATTAATCCAAGAAATATTATAGGTTTTAATCTCGAAACTAACGCAACAAATGATTCTGAATTCATTTAAAATTAATTCTTAAATTATATGAAAATGCAAAATTTCGATTCACCCGAATTATTTCAGAAAATAATTCAAAATTATATCTGGATTAATTCGTGATATGATTTTTGTACAAATATACACATTAATTCACGGATTAATGTTGAATTAGTTCAAGAAAAATTATAGGTTTAAAGTTACAAATTAACGCAAGATATAATTATAAATTAATTATTTTGTTACGAGTGCATCTTTCGAATAGTTCTTATTTGAATATGTATCCGCTGCAACATTAATTTGTATATGTTGTTTGTTTATGTTTGTGATAGAAAACACAGAATAGTTAGTTAACACTTGGTTATCTGTTTGTAAACACTTTTTAAAATTAATAAAGTAAAGTCGAAGTCTTTAAGTTTAAACGTAACAATACATTAATTCTTGCATTATATTAAAATGGAAAATTTTGATTTACCTGAATTATTTCAGAAATTAATATAAAATTATTTCTGAATTAATTCGTGATATGATTTTTGTAAAAATACACTAATTAATTTACGAATTAACGTACCGATAATCAAAGAAATATTATAGGTTTTAATTTCGAAATTAACGGAAGGAATGATTCTGAATTAATTCTGAATTAATTTTTGAATTAAATGAAAATGCAAAATTTCGATTCACCCGAATTATTTCAGAAAATAATTCAAAATTATTTCTGAATTAATTCTTGATATGATTTTTGTAAAAATGCACTAATTAATTTACAAATTAACGTACCAATAATCCAAGAAATATTATAGGTTTTAATCTCGTAAAAAAGCTTTTGTACGCATTACTGAGCATATGAAACGTTCATGAAAGCACCTACCTTATCGGCATTTACAGAATTTGAAATATTGCAGAATCAAAGTTAGATTAAAAATAAAAACGCTTTTTTAGGTTGTAGATATATGTCCAAGAATTACTCAGTTCAAATTTCACACAATTCTATCGAGTGGTTCTTTCAAAATTTGGTCAAGCAGCACCAAATCTTAATTTCTTCGAGGTGTTATCAGGGGCGTTTCATATCTCCTTAAGGGAATTTTAATTCAGGATTATTTAAACCCCTAGCATTGCGTTAAGCACTTCCATTTTTTATTATTATTCGTTAAAATTGAAAGAAATTCAATGTGAAAATTCGATAAGAAATCTGCTTTATGTAATATTTATAATGTATATCTAATATATATCCATATACTAGATAATATTAAAGTAAACATTAAATAAAATACTGTACGTTTATCAATTATTTTATTTCGTATTCTTCCATAATTATATAAAATAAAGCACTTTTAATAATTTTTAAAATTTTACTTATATATTCAGTAAATAATTTATTTATAGTATATCTAGTTGTGTTATATAATTTTAAATATTTTCTATAATAATTCTAAAAGTAATTAGATAGTATTTTATAAAGTAATTCTTGTGAAATGGATATAATCTTTTAAAATTATTTCAGTGAATCAATTCTATATTAATTTTACGCCAGCTTTTTATTACTTAAGTATCACTTTGAAAATTAATTTTGAAACAATTCAAAACATTCTTACTGTGATGATTTCACAATTATTATGATAATATTTCATAAAATAATTCTTCTAAAATGCATTGTAACGAGCCGGCTCGTTAAGGGAGTGTCTACACGGGATCCGTCCTCGGATCCGTGGACGGATCCGTCCCCGTCCAAATTTTTATAGGCACACGCCATCTTCATAACTTCAAGTTCAGTGGTGAGTTTCAAATTTGATGTGAGAAACGCATCTATACAGTTCTTATATCCGTGATTTACAGCTCCAATTTTATTCAACGTGTAACGTATAAGTTGGTGAGTTCGTCCTCTTTTTCATTATACTGTAATACCGTAAACCGTAATTATAATTAATTATTTATACTTTTTGCCTTATCAAATTGCAAAATACATAATAGGTAGACCAATAGAATTTATATGAACAAATACTATTTGATTTCGGGGAAGGCATATTGCAAGGTGTAGTCAAGTTTGCTGATTTTACAATTGAAAATAATTTTAGAAATACAGGCTAGAATGCAAAAGGCTGTAGATAATACAAAGCCTTCCTTAAGAATACAAAGATTTTATAGGGAAAAACAAGTGTGCGTTGAAAAAAATCATTTATAAAGACGAAAGATTTACAAATTATAACGTATGTTTATTTACAAAATTAGATTTGCATCTTCTATTAAATTTATTTTTGATGAAATTCTTGTAGATGATACATCAGGAAAATTACTTCCGAATAAATTGACTATACATAATTTGACTGATGATTGGCTAAAAGCTATTCAGGTGATTTGGAAAACTACCCACTTAAATGCAGAAAACAATTGTGATATAAAGTAATATTATTTTTATAACTATAAATTCATGATTTTTTATCAGATTGCAATAGCAAAGAATTTTTTTTTCTTTATCTGCAGTAAATCAATGTCGGATTGTTTTCAAGAAAGAGAAGAACTTTGATTGCGTTATCAAGTAGCTGTAATTAGAAATGCTATAAACGAACTTGGATGTAAAAAATTACCTTCTGGATATGACCTTTCAATGGAGGATTCATTTACTGAGCCAACAAAAACAAAGTAAATCAAATTAAAAATAAATTTTTTTCATTCACTATTAGTAATGCTACTGAACTATTATCCATAATAATTAATGTTAAGGAAAACTAAATGAATAATTAATCTCAATGTGCATTTAATAATGATATAAATCAGGATTAGGTTGCTGCAATTAATAATTACAATATTTATATCTTATATCTGATAATTTTTATTGTATTACAGATCAAAATTTACAAGAGGATAACATTTCTAACATTTCTAATAGTTTCTTTGGCTTCAACCCATAAACTTCTGTCTGATAAACAAGCATAATGCCATTGCTGAATCAAATCGTCTAAAGTAATAAGAATAGACATCTGTGAAAATAACAAATTTCTTAACGATGCCCTTAGTGACCTCAGAGGAGCGTTGATTATGTTTAACTGAGCTGGCCACATACTGCGATATAAATCACATCGCGATAAACTCCATCGATTTGTAAATGTATTGTTGGTTATTGGGTTGTCGTCTTCTATTGTTCCAAGAAATCTGCACTTGTAACCTCCAATCACTGTCTTTTTTTGAATGATTTTCTGCAACACTTCTTTATGGCTAATCTCATTATCCAATGTAATTATACCTTCGCTTTCGTTGGAAAACCAAAAAATGAATCTCGAATAATTATTATTGCCCATATGAATTTCAATATTTCTAAACGCCACTGGTACAAAACGACGAAAATCGTTTTGTATAATATATTCAATCGTGAATTTCATCTTCTCGTTCAATCTTTCTTCATGGAATGGTTTGAATTCCATTATATTTTTTATTACTACCGTATTATTCATTATTATAATAACTTTGATCACCAGTTGAAAATTTATTCTTACAGCGACTGTAACTGTAGAATTGTAGGAAATGTAGACGCAAAGAATACTAACGACATGCTTGAACAAAGAAAAACAGAAATGTATATGTACCAATCTTGGCCACATATGGGGCGAAAACTGACACGTATATAACGTAAGCGGTAAAATAGTGGATACGTGTTATATTTTCTAATTTTTATTGATCAGTTTTTATTTTAAAAAGTGAATAACAATTTTTTTATTGTAAAACTTATTTCAATTTCGAAATAAAAGAAATTATTTCTCTAGTACATTTGTATTTTGATGATTCAGAAATATTATTAAATCCTATTTTGATTAAATTCATGAATCTTCTAATTTCTTGATTCTCATTACTCGTGTTCTTATCAAGATTTGCAAGATCATTTTCCAATTTTTTCATGGACTTCGTAGCTGTATCAATGGCATCGTCTAATGTTTCAATGTCATTATCTGATTTTCTTTTCCGACTAAATTTCCTCTTGTCGAATTTGTTTTCACCACTACTTGATGATAATTTCATCAAGGAGTCCATGTTATCAGAACAAATTTGAGGCATATGGCTTAAATACGGTTGTAACCAAAGCATTTCCTTGTACAATTCCCACGTAACTTCCACTTTCATATAAACAGGCAGCAGAACTGAAGCAATAATGTAACATGTTTCACGAATAATTTCTAATAGTTTCTTTGGCTTCAACCCATAAACTTCTGTCTGATAAACAAACAGAATTTAATCTGATTATATCTGATAAAAAAACAGAATAGGCTCATGCATTCTTCATAATTTCAAGTTCAGTGGTGAGTTTCAAATTTAATGTGAGAAACATCTATGTAGTTTTTACATTCGTGGTGGTTATTAAGTTTATAACCCTAACAATATCATAATACTCAGAATAAGCCATGAATGCATAATATAACAAATAATCACAATTAAATTTATTTTATTAAACGTTATAATTATAACCCATCTTTTTTATATAATAAGCGTATTATAAAGGTCATTATCAAAATTGATTATAAACGTGGCACATCCATGTCTCTTAGTACTCTATTAATTTGTAATACTTATTTTTATTATTACAGATAATAAATATGAGAATCGAAGATATTGAAAGATCAATCAGGATTTTAAATTTATTACAGTTCTGTCTTGTTTCTTTAAAAATTTTAAAATTGATTAACAAAAGAAAGAAGAAATTGAGAAGATGGTGGGTCAAACCACATCTTTTACCCGGCATCAGAAATACTGTGGGAGCATATACAGTCATATGTCATTACTTTCAATTAAACAATCATGAAGAATTCCAAATTCATTTCAAGATGTCAGTTGATAATTTCCAAGCTTTATGCGATCTTATTGGGAATAGATTACAAAAGCAATACCATACAAGAGAGCCAATCGCACCATATCTACGACTTGCTTTAACTTTGCAGTAAGTATTTTAAGTATTAAACATTATTTATTAAATATATATACTTTGATGTTAAATTTTATTTAATTTTAGTCACTTAGGACAAGGAGGAAACGCTCATCTTCACTCTATACATTATAGGGTTGGAAAATCTACTTTTTACAAAATTATTCGTGAAACATGTTACATTATTGCTTCAGTTCTGCTGCCTGTTTATATGAAAGTGGAAGTTACGTGGGAATTGTACAAGGAAATGCTTTGGTTACAACCGTATTTAAGCCATATGCCTCAAATTTGTTCTGATAACATGGACTCCTTGATGAAATTATCATCAAGTAGTGGTGAAAACAAATTCGACAAGAGGAAATTTAGTCGGAAAAGAAAATCAGATAATGACATTGAAACATTAGACGATGCCATTGATACAGCTACGAAGTCCATGAAAAAATTGGAAAATGATCTTGCAAATCTTGATAAGAACACGAGTAATGAGAATCAAGAAATTAGAAGATTCATGAATTTAATCAAAATAGGATTTAATAATATTTCTGAATCATCAAAATACAAATGTACTAGAGAAATAATTTCTTTTATTTCGAAATTGAAATAAGTTTTACAATAAAAAAATTGTTATTCACTTTTTAAAATAAAAACTGATCAATAAAAATTAGAAAATATAACACGTATCCACTATTTTACCGCTTACGTTATATACGTGTCAGTTTTCGCCCCATATGTGGCCAAGATTGGTACATATACATTTCTGTTTTTCTTTGTTCAAGCATGTCGTTAGTATTCTTTGCGTCTACATTTCCTACAATTCTACAGTTACAGTCGCTGTAAGAATAAATTTTCAACTGGTGATCAAAGTTATTATAATAATGAATAATACGGTAGTAATAAAAAATATAATGGAATTCAAACCATTCCATGAAGAAAGATTGAACGAGAAGATGAAATTCACGATTGAATATATTATACAAAACGATTTTCGTCGTTTTGTACCAGTGGCGTTTAGAAATATTGAAATTCATATGGGCAATAATAATTATTCGAGATTCATTTTTTGGTTTTCCAACGAAAGCGAAGGTATAATTACATTGGATAATGAGATTAGCCATAAAGAAGTGTTGCAGAAAATCATTCAAAAAAAGACAGTGATTGGAGGTTACAAGTGCAGATTTCTTGGAACAATAGAAGACGACAACCCAATAACCAACAATACATTTACAAATCGATGGAGTTTATCGCGATGTGATTTATATCGCAGTATGTGGCCAGCTCAGTTAAACATAATCAACGCTCCTCTGAGGTCACTAAGGGCATCGTTAAGAAATTTGTTATTTTCACAGATGTCTATTCTTATTACTTTAGACGATTTGATTCAGCAATGGCATTATGCTTGTTTATCAGACAGAAGTTTATGGGTTGAAGCCAAAGAAACTATTAGAAATGTTAGAAATGTTGTCCTCTTGTAAATTTTGATCTGTAATACAATAAAAATTATCAGATATAAGATATAAATATTGTAATTATTAATTGCAGCAACCTAATCCTGATTTATATCATTATTAAATGCACATTGAGATTAATTATTCATTTAGTTTTCCTTAACATTAATTATTATGGATAATAGTTCAGTAGCATTACTAATAGTGAATGAAAAAAATTTATTTTTAATTTGATTTACTTTGTTTTTGTTGGCTCAGTAAATGAATCCTCCATTGAAAGGTCATATCCAGAAGGTAATTTTTTACATCCAAGTTCGTTTATAGCATTTCTAATTACAGCTACTTGATAACGCAATCAAAGTTCTTCTCTTTCTTGAAAACAATCCGACATTGATTTACTGCAGATAAAGAAAAAAAAATTCTTTGCTATTGCAATCTGATAAAAAATCATGAATTTATAGTTATAAAAATAATATTACTTTATATCACAATTGTTTTCTGCATTTAAGTGGGTAGTTTTCCAAATCACCTGAATAGCTTTTAGCCAATCATCAGTCAAATTATGTATAGTCAATTTATTCGGAAGTAATTTTCCTGATGTATCATCTACAAGAATTTCATCAAAAATAAATTTAATAGAAGATGCAAATCTAATTTTGTAAATAAACATACGTTATAATTTGTAAATCTTTCGTCTTTATAAATGATTTTTTTCAACGCACACTTGTTTTTCCCTATAAAATCTTTGTATTCTTAAGGAAGGCTTTGTATTATCTACAGCCTTTTGCATTCTAGCCTGTATTTCTAAAATTATTTTCAATTGTAAAATCAGCAAACTTGACTACACCTTGCAATATGCCTTCCCCGAAATCAAATAGTATTTGTTCATATAAATTCTATTGGTCTACCTATTATGTATTTTGCAATTTGATAAGGCAAAAAGTATAAATAATTAATTATAATTACGGTTTACGGTATTACAGTATAATGAAAAAGAGGACGAACTCACCAACTTATACGTTACACGTTGAATAAAATTGGAGCTGTAAATCACGGATATAAGAACTGTATAGATGCGTTTCTCACATCAAATTTGAAACTCACCACTGAACTTGAAGTTATGAAGATGGCGTGTGCCTATAAAAATTTGGATGGGGACGGATCCGTCCACGGTCTGTTTATACCTCTCTCTCTCTCTCTCTCGCGGTAAAACCTAGCGTGTCGTCGTTGCGTGACGCAGCGACGCATCACTGAGTAAAGCTCTCGGCCTCTTTCTCTACGGGATGTAAGCAAACCGCTAGACGAATAAAAGGTGTCTGCAATTAATCGGCCGCCTTGTTTACTGACGTGGGCAGAAGCACACGTATCTCCTCTGCCCAGCTATCCGAACCCACCGACTCCCCCGCGCAAGCAGTACGTCGAGCACGCATCCGAGGAAGCCGTCGGCACCACAGCCGGGAGGTAAGTCTTCCTCCAACGAAGCGGCGGTTAGCTTCGCAACGTGGGAGTGACGGTGACTTATTTTGTTAACGAGCACCGATTTATTATTTAGGTAAATCATAACCGTTACAGCATGTAATATTTGGAAATTATTTCAGTGAATCAAGGCTGTATTAATTTTATGTCCGCTTTTTATTTCTTCAATATCATTTTGAAAATTTATTTTGAAACAATTCAAAACATTCTTATTGTAATGATTTCAAAATTATTACGATAATATTTCATAAAATAATTTTTCTAAAATGCATGTAATATTTGAAAATTATTTCAGTGAATCAATTCTGTATTAATTTTATGTCCGCTGTTTATTTCTTCATTATTAATTTTAAACATTAATTTTTAAACAATTCAAAATATTCCAACTGTAATAATTTCAAAACTATTACGTTAATATTTCATAAAATAATTCTTCTAAAATGCATGTAATATTTGAAAATTATTTTAGTCAATTAATGTAGTAATAATATTCGTTATATTTCTGAAGGAAAAAAAACGGACATAAAATTAATACAGAATTAATTCATTGAATTAATTCTAAAATAATTATATTATTTCATGAATTAATTTTGAATTATTTTAGAATTAATTCATGCTGTGTGGGTAATAGTATTTTTATATAAACATTGTAGTTTCTAAAGATAAAAAAAAGTACCATGGACCAAAAAACAAATCAACACCCTGTTAGCATATTTTTCGAATACTCCTGAACTTGATACCAAGGTATCAAGTGCTGTTTCAATTGAAACATTAATAAAAACAACAGAAGATAAAACTGTGAGTCAAAAAACCAAACCACAGATTAGATTATGGATTCACACACAAAGAAATAGAAAAAAAACTAAACGAAATGTACCAGAAAGGAACAGTATACCAAAATGGATATATGGAGGATTTGCCAAATATATTAAGGCTGATAAGATACCATCGATCAAGATATGTGCAAAATTTCTTGGCCATTCTAAAGTAAATGTAACTGTTCAGAATATTCAAAATTGGGTTGAGACTGCCATTCGAAGGCAAAGTTTGTAAGATAGTTGTTTGATTTTCATTCACATTCATTAAAATTTTCCATTCATTGAAAGCTATCTATTTGATATTGTTAATGTTATTTAACTTTATTTATGTATATAGTATCAAAGTAAAACTTTGATTACTACTGTTTGAACGAAGATCCACGTTCCGTTTTTCCCCCGTTTACCGACGGTTAGAAAGTTGGCGGATAGTGCCCCTGGAGTCTACAGAGGGTTGTAGCTCAAGTGAAGAGCGCCCCTTCCTGGGGACTTCTGGACCGGATAGAGCAGTATGGTTTTGCACCTGCTCTCTGACAGCGACGATAAGGGCGTGCACCTTATTTCTATTGTTTATCATAGATAAATAAAGAAACAAAATCATCTAAGTAGTCCATTAAATGTCCAATCAATTACCTTCGCACACAACTACTATTTATAATAATAAATATATGTTATGCAATTTTCTAATTTTCAACGAAAATACTTGAAAATAAGAAGATATGATTATCTGTTTATAACAGTTTAATTATGTTTTACACATTTTTGTAAGTTTTTTCAAATCAAAAAAAAAAGTGACTATATTCAATAGTTAGTTTAATTTTATATTTTGTTTCTACTATTAAAAAATGACGATTTATCTTTGTTAATCTTAATCTTAACAAAAACTCTGTATAAAAATTTTAAGATTCTACTCTTATAAATACTTAATTAATGTAACTTTGAGATAAAACTTATGTGTTAAGGACAACAAATGTGATTTAATTATTATTATAAAATATCCTTAAGTTCAAAGATCACATCATTCAATTAAATACAAAGCTGTAATATGCACATCGTACACTATTTTGTCTAATATAGATATAAAAAGTCAAATAAGGTAGTAAATAATAGTCAAAAAAAAGGTGAACTATAAAGTTGTATATGGTTACAAGAGTTGAAATATTGATACTTGAAATTATAGTTCCTAATAAGTGCTGGTAATGAGCAAGACCTTGATTATGTAAAAAATTAAAAGCTGGATACTTTAGTTGACTATCTTCTTTTAAAATTTTTGTTACTACAGACAAATTATTTATGTACAACATACATATCAAATCTATTATTTTAAAGGTATAAATAAATTTATTCAAATGATTTTATGAAGCTTTTTGTATGTAGTTTTATATAAGCTTAGGAATTAATATTACTATAAAGTTAAACATGGTTACAAAAGAACAATATTGATAATTGAAAGTTGTAATTTAAAAAATGAAGTTATAATTTATTGATAGTAAAATTTATAAATAACGAATAAATATTATAAAATTTTTGCATAACTGCTGATGCTTGCACAAGAATTATAATCTCTGTCAATTTCTGGTAGTGAGCAAGCTCTTGGTTACGTAAAAAATTAATAGCTGGATACTTCAGTTCATTATCATCTTTTAGAAATTTTATTACAATATCTTTATCTTTATGAGCCATCATTAAGTGTCTATCCAAATGCGTTATTGGGTTATTGGGTTCTTAAATTTAACATTACTCTAAGCTTTCAATAACACTGAGATCAGGTTTTATAAGTTAGCACTCTATAATTGAAAAGATAACTGTCTAAAATTAACTTTTTGGCTATACTGTCAAAAAGTAATAGAATTATTCCCTCAAGTTTCATTAATACTTTTGGTATGTTCATAATTGAATTATTAATTTCAAAATTCAATAATAATTTTAGAAACAACTCGATTTTAAATAAAATTTTTTTCACGTTATGTTGTTCAAAGTTAAAACAATTATGTGCACATTATTTTAATCTTGCTGTTTTACAAGGATCCTGAAAACTTTACTTGAATTATTCAAGGATCCTAGAAAATGTGCATGAGCTTAGTTTCAGCATCCAAGAAAAAATTGAATGCATTTTTTTGGTATCCTGGAAATTACCAATTCATATAGAACTTTTCTGGGATGTCCCAGAAACACGCAAAAATCCCTGAAAGTGTCATTCTGTCGTCGAAATCATCCCTGAAAATGGCAAAATGTATATATATATATATATAATATTATATATTAAATTAATACCTACCAAATCAAAAAGCGGTTGTAAAATAAGCTAGACAAAAAAACAAACGACGCCTAAACTTTATGAAGAATAAAATGATTAGTGTGGCGACGCGCGCACGGCATATTTTCGATATTCGATTGTGAAGTTGCCGTCGTAGAGCTGATTTTGTTATATTCGACGCGCCAATGTTTCTACATGATTTTTTAGTCAGTCGTTATTATGACAGCCAAATCATAATCACATATTAATAAAGATATTTACTATATATTGTCTCTACACATTCATTCTCTTCATTGGTGACCCCGAATTAAAGTATATTTAAAAAAAAAAAGAAAGTTAACTTTTGAGAGTGAAGAATGGTGTTACCCCGAGACAACCAGCAAGAAGAGCTCAGTGCACAACTCGAACAGTTTCGCCTCGACAACGAGCGACTCACTCGGGAACTGGCTCAGCAGCAGGAGCAACAACTGCAACAACAGCGACAGCAGAACAATGATGGCCTTGCAGCAGGCGGCGCACCCGCCCCAGTTAACCCCATCCCTGCACCGGCAGTTCATCGTGTTGCTGTCAAGCTGCTGCCCTTTTGGTCGGACCGGCCTAGCATGTGGTTCGCGCAGGCGGATTCGCAATTCATTATCTCCAACATCACAAACGAAGTAACAAAATTCCATTACGTCGTTTCACAATTGGATACTCGTATAGCTGTCGAAGTTGAGGATGTCATCGTCAATCCGCCCGCCGATAATCCGTATACTTTTTTGCGCACCAAACTGATTGAGCGTTTGTCTGCCTCAGAGGAACAACGCGTGAGGCGCCTGATTAGTGAGGAGGAACTAGGTGATCGCAAACCCTCGCAGTTCCTTCGCCACCTTCGCACGCTTATTGGCACGACAGTCATCCCGGATAACCTCTTGCGTCAGTTTTGGCTCCAGCGTCTTCCGTCTCACGTTCAAGCCATCATCACTGCGCAAATGACGGCTCAACCGACCTTGACCCTCGATAATCAGTCCGAAATCGCTGACAAAATCATCGAGGTGTCTCCAGCAACGCCTTTATCCGTCCGAGCCACCTCTGTTTCAACGTCCACCGAACAAGAAGTATCAAACAACGCGTTGATTTGTGCCATCGAATCGTTGTCAAAGGAAGTCGCAGAGCTTCGTAGAAATCGAAGCAACAGCCGAGGACGTCAACGCAGCCAATATAAGCAAGATTTCAGTCCTGATTCATCTCGTCTGTGTTGGTACCATCGCAAATTCCAGGAAAAAGCTACGAAGTGCACCAAGCCGTGTGCTTACAAACCGGGAAACGACTACGGCAGTTCGTAAGGACGGCGTCGAACTGTTTGTCTCCGGGCAGCCGTCTCTTCGTGATTGATCAGACCTCCAAGCGAAATTTTCTCGTTGACACAGGGTCTGATATTTGTTGTTATCCTCGTCGTTTTCTTCGTCAGCGTTATTCACCTACTAATTTTAACTTGGTTGCAGCGAACGGCAGTGCAATTAAGACGTACGGCTATCTCCCGCTTAATCTTAATTTTGGTTTGCGGAGGGAGTTCAAATGGAAGTTTGTCATCGCTGACGTTGATGTCC